GAAGTATAAATAAAGATTGGGGCAGTTTCTTAGTGCGAGTCTCTCAGTAGGGAGCTGCCCTTGCTAGCAAGAAGTTCTGTGTTTCTCTTCTCTGAGTCTTTACTGAAGAAGTGTTTTATAACATTTTCCCTAACACTAAGTAACTAAGTAATAAATTACTTTTGAAAATAAGTAATCAGTAAAGTAACATGATAACTTTTTTGGGGAAGTAATCAGTAATTAGTTACTGATTACTTTTTTCAAGTAACTTGACCAACACTGATTCCACTTACAGCAAAAATATGAATTAACACCAAGTCGTTCAATAAAGAAACTTTGGATGAAACAGCTGGATTGTGTTGCTGTACAGCCTTAAACCGTTACATTTGTGTACGTTTGAATGACGATGGCTTGAGTTAAAGTTTTCTTTCTTTTTCTTTTTTTCTTGGAGGGGGCATGATTCATTTGAAGGTCTTTTTCTCTATTTATGCTGTATTTATTCTTTGTAATCATACAAAGTTACTGAAACTTGTAACCACAACAATGCATCACTGGAGAGCACTGATTTAACAGGTGCTGTATATTTACATGTATATTTTGGCTGCTGTTAGATTCCCTCATGTTTGATTTTTACACCGTGTGCCTTTCAGGATGCAGCCCCGACCGGCATTATTCAAAGCATTACAATAACTATCTAAAATCCTTCTTTTGCAGAACTACATCCTGGTTTAATCGTGACCACATCCATTTAATGGGCTGGGTAAATGGAACTGCTATATTTTCAATATGTGCAATACAACTTTATGTTTTTCAACATCCAAAGGCGGAAAAAGAAATGTTAAGTATGACTTAGTCAGTTAAGACCCAGAGTAGTGACTTATGTTTTAAGTTTTCAATCAAGTTGAAAAAACATATTATAATAAATGACAAAGAAAAAATAGCCACTTTAAAAGACTGAAGCCAGGCTTGAAATCCCTCCTGATTATCATTTCCTTTTCTTGGTAAAACTCATTAAACAGTAAGACTCATAAAAGCAGCAGGGGAGATGACAGTCTAGCATTCTCAGTTGTTTTAGAGGCCTCTGAGCGCAATAAGCATCTGAAAATTGGGGGCTGTTAAAGTGATTCTTTTTTTTCTTTTACTGCCAAAGTGTTGTTCTTCAACAATGCAAGTAACAAGCAAGAATCCCAAGAAACGTGGAGATAACAGAAGCCTTTTTTGCACCATTTTCTGAGGGCAGCTCTGCAGGGAAGGCATTTACACCTGCTTGCCTCATCTTTCACGATACACTAGGCCCCCAAAGTGTGCTTGACTTATAAATATCCACATCTTGTGGCAAAGATGGAGGGACCACAAAAAAGCAAAGAAAAAACAACAAGTGTGTGTGTGTGTTATTTAAAAAAATCAAAAAAAACAGGGATATTGTCTGGGCAATATCCCAGACAAATGAAGTCGGTTTTCACTAGTGACTTGTTTGTCAAATCAGCACAAAGGATTTATGGTCCGTAGCTACAATGAGAGGTTACACTGAGAGTACGAGACCTCAGAAATTAATCTTGCTAGTGCTGGTCACGACACCTGAAACTCCCCCCACCCCCAAAACTCCTTTAAACTTCACCATTCTCAGTTAAACAACTGGACTTGAGATAGACGAAAACTTTACACCAATATAGGTCAAACTTATTCTTTTTTAAGATAAAATATTTCATTTTTAAGCACGCTTATCCTCAGATTGAACTGAATGAAGCATGAAACATGGAGAAGAGGAAAACAAATGAACTACTATCTCATTTTAGTAAAATCCTATCTAGCACCTTTTCTGCAATACGATCTACATCAAAGCCCTTCGCATTGACTTTCAACTTCACTGTAGGGAAGGGAGGGGGGGGTGGAAGATATACAACATTAAACAGCATTTTTCATTCATGAGCAAATCATGTTCTGTTTCAACAATAGAGGAAAAAGAGCTGATTCAGTGAAGCCGCTGCAGGGGTAATTGATAGGGATCCAGCAAAGGTAACTCCCGGGGGAAATGCTGGATCATGAATTCCTACCCTGCCAGCGGGAACAAGGACTATCTATAGACGTTTTTTTTAATCCCCAGTGGGCGAGAAAGTGGCTTTAATAAAGAATTTAAAAGGACATTTAAAGCTGAATTAAAGCCATGTGTCTGTGAAACTAAAAAAAGGTTAAGTTCTAATTTATTATAAGAATCAATGGGAAACATTTTTTACTGTACTCTCCAAGCGTAGCGCTGATTTACACTTAATATGAACACTTTCTTCCTCGATAACAACTCATTAATCGAATAAACGAAAAAGTAAATAACTGTTAACTGCAGAAAAAAAGGGTTTCACGTCAATTACTTGAACAGCGTTAAAGAGTACATGTTAAAAATTATAGCGCCTGGCAGATATCCCTTCGTGAAAGATGAGAAGGGAGTGGCATGACTGCTAGGCCTATCCCTGTCACTTCATTAAGCTTTGCAATAACCGTTCTTTGCAGCCCACATTCTCCTTCCATCTGTATTATGCTGGTAAATCACCTTGCGGCAGCCAAGGGAAAATTGCTATTTATTTCGCAGTACAAAAAAGAGACGACTCTCGTTTGTAGACCTGGAGGCTATGAGAAAGACGGAGCAAGAAGCTGCTGCCAGGCTGACTAGTGTCCAAACAGATGGTGGGTATAAGAGAAAAGTTGGAGGATTCTGTATAGTTATGTCCACACATGCTGACAGAGCTCCGATTTGACTGTTCTGCGCTTGACAGGACTCTGACTTCTCCCCTCCCACTGTTGCTCGAATTAGAGGGGTGTGCTGCACACACATAAATACACAAACACACATGCACACGCTCGCTGTCAAAGAAGTGGAAAACACTCAAATTGTCATGGGAGGAATACATCAAGTGCCTTCACACACATATACACACACATATTCTTCCATATAAAAACAAACTTGCGCTGCACTGCTTGTGTTGTTCATCAGCAAGTTAGGTAGCCTGGTTGTGTATCTGAGAAACAAACTGGCCGGGACAAGTAAATTCCCAGAGCTTCTTTCACCAAAGCCTTCACGTCTTCCCTGATGGAAGATTGGTCTACTGGACTGGAAAAGGCAAGAACCAAACCAAGCATGGCCGCTCTTGATTCACACATATATGTACAAGCTCGGGTTTGTGCACGTCCACACACACAAAAATAAAAACCACTGATCTGAAACTACTCAGCGGGTACAAACAACAAATACAAAAAGGAGCTACTTGGCATTTTAACTTCCTCATAGACACATAAACACAGTGAAACACAAGCATTGGTATGCATAACTGGCACAGAGATTTGAACTGAGACCAAACAGAAACAGTGGTGGTGGTGTCGAGACAATTACGTTTTAAGTGAGAAAAGACGCCAAAGGAAGCATATGTCTGTTGACTAATTAAGGATGGGGTGGAGAAAGATGACGCCTCCTTACCTTTGCTCTGTGAGGAGAAGCAGAGGGAAAGCTGAGCAAATAGGTCAGGATTCTCAAACTTCTCTTCTTTGACTTTGATCCAGAAGCAATTCTCTGCCATTTCCTGAGGCACTATCTGCAATGACACAAGGATTCCATTATCACCACAATCAGAAACCGTCATTCCACCAAGCTGCCACTCAAAAGTTCTTCTCACTGGAGATGGAGTTTGTGAGTGTTTTTGCTGCGTGCGGCCACACACATGCCCTTGAGTGGCATCTTTAGCATCTGAGTGACAAACAAGAAATAACCAAACAGCAACAGGAGAACGTGAGGGATACATTAATATTTGCATATGACGAGAAACCGCATGCTAAACTTTACCTGAGTGAACAGACACAAAAACCAACATCGTAGGAATCACACGGCTGCTTAGTAAAGACGAAGATGGAGGCGTACAAAGGAAGATCAAGACATGAACACATCTAATGACTGTAGTAGTGTATCATCAATATCTATACCATTTGCCTACTTCCGCTGTACACTGTATTAAGTGCTATAATGAGACCTACTTCTGTGGCTTTTTGTCAAACACTCGAATTTGCACTTGACCCAGTGCAAAGCTGCCAATAACCGTCTTCGAAAACACAGAAAGTAAAACACTCATGCAACACAGACCAATCTCCATCTAGCTCTGGTCCATTACTCCCAATGCCGTATAGTAACAGTAATAAGTATAACAGTGTTGCAGAGTCAATCATGAGCTTGTTTTGGTGTCCGGGATAGATAACCTCTGTGCTCTTATTTGCTTCTATTCAACCCACATATACAAACATAGCACACATGTGCCTAAAATAGGTTTGTTTGTTTTGTTTTGATTTAATTGCATATGCGTATAACAGCTGTTTCACAAGAATTACAAATTATTGTAGCAAGAAAAAGAATTTTACCAAAATAAATATGTAAATGTAAATAAATAAATATGTAAAAATAAATAAGGCAGCACGGTGGTTAGCACTGTTGCTGCACAGCAAGAAGGTCCTGAGTTCAGGTCTTTCTGTGTGGAGTTTGCATGTTCTCCCCGTGTTTGCGTGGGTTCCCTCCGGGTACTCCGGCTTCCTCCCACCGTCCAAAGACATGCAGCTTGTGGGGATAGGTTAATTGATTTATCCAAATTGCCACTATGTGCGAATGAATGTGAGTGCGAATGGTTGTCTGTCCCTGTGTGTTGGCCCTGCGACAGACTGGCGACCTGTCCAGGGTGTACCCCGCCTTTCGCCCTATGACAGCTGGGATAGGCTCCAGCGCCCCCCGCGACCCTGAAAAGGAGAAGCGGGAGCGAATGGATGGATGGATGAATATTAAAAATGACTTAATGTTAGCTTTCCAAGTGTTTAGAATGTGGAAGCAATTTATAGTTTGCACAATTGCGTGTGACCAATGGGGGGACACACAGCATAGTAGCAATTTTAGGGTTGGTATTTGACTGTCCACAACATGAAAAGCAGAAAAACAGACAGGGATCTCATGAATTTTATCAAAGGGTGGCTATGACTTTTGTGTGGCAGTCATTGACACGCCTGGCCCTTTGAACTCTATTAATAAAAAGGAAGTAGTAATCAAAGCACATCGAAATTCCAGAAGTGACTACTTTAATTGCAACTATATTAAGGTTAGGACATGTATATCTGCCAACATACACTATGCAGAGTGCGAGTCTGTGAAGTCACAGATTTCAGGCTGCACTCTTTTTTCTTGTTTTTTTAAACCGACAGAAATAAAAGCAACAGAAAAATACTTAACCAAATACCCAACCAACTAAAAGGTTTCGTCTACATGAAAGTAGCACAACAAAACAGCTTGTGCTTTAGAATTTTTTTCTGCTCCTACTTTGTGCTATTAAGTCAAGGCAATGACATGAAACAATCTAACCACAGTCCATCTCTCTTTTAAGTGAGGTCCTGAATTGCAGGTAAACAAAGCACCAAAGACACTATAAAAGCTTGTGAATTAGTCACATATTTTTTCAAGACCGAATACAAAGGTATTTTGAGGTAAATCGCATAAAATGTTTTTATATATACAGAATATATAAAAAAATAAATAAAGTGTTACCATTTTAAATTGGCTTAAAAGAAAACTGAATGAATCTGAACTTATTTTCTCATTTTCCTAATATTTTGTTTAACATTTGGCCTGTAAGTGAATATTGGCTTTACCCTGTTGGACCTGAGCAGAGCGAAACAAATTACATCTTTATGCTTGTGAGAAAGCACTTACTGCAATTTAATGATTTAATTTTGAGCTTAAATATGAGCTACCTCAATGTGCTCTGTACAACTCAGCCATTGAATCTCCACCTTATTGTGGTGAAGGTGTTTGTGTGTCGAAGTGATCCCAGGAGCTATGTTATTGGGAGCTTATGCTGGTTGCGTAGCCCAAGGCAAACTGGTCAAACCTGTAGCTACTGAAACTAGCTCTTAAAACTTCCAGCATCTCTCTGGTAGGAAAGGAGCCTGAACTAATGAGTGATGTTGAGCAATAGCAGGTAGATATAGTAGGTATCATCTCAACACATGGCTTAAGGTCTAGAACCAGACTCCTTGAGAGAGCTTGAAAGGGATTCTGGCAAACCATCAGTAACTGAGGAGGGAAAGTGATGCTCTACTCATACTGTGTACGGTGAGGGTGGGACGCCACTGACTTCAACCAAGGATGTAATCTGGAGTTAGAAAGAATACATCTTCATAGAGAAGCAATAAGTGGATGACTTGTCCATCACTGGAAGTGAGATCACTGACAGTTCAATAACTCCTAGATGACAGGTCCCTTGGGATGGATGAAATTCACCCCGACTATGTTCTGGCTCTAGATGTTGTGGGATTCTCTTGTTTAATGTGCCTCTGTAGGGTCGCATGGAAATGTGGGCTGCTGGAGAGAAGAGTCTGTCTGTTAGTCGAATCTCATGGAAACGAACAATGAGTACTGGGACGCTGGACCAGGTCTTTATCCTCCTTTGGACATTCAAGGCTACGTGGGAGTTTGCCGAACAAGTCTGTAAGTGCTTTGTGGACTTGGAGAAGGCATTCAACAGTATTCCTTAGGCCAGTGGTTCCCAAACTTTTTTTGCTAGGCCCCCCTTTGTTTTACAAGAAAAACAAAGGGGGGCGCACACACACATCCTCCAACCACACACATATTCTGCTCCATTGCGGTTTATTTCACACCTCAAACATTTAGTAAACAATTAAGCAAATACAAGTAATCTGCGATAAATTACAGCTAGTAAGAAAATAAACTAACTCTTTTATGCTACGTCCGCACCTACACGGGTATTTTTGAAAACGCAGCTGTTTCGATACGTAAACGGCGTTTCAAATCACCGAAAACTGAGGTTTTTTAAAACTCCTTTTTTGTGTTTATGTGTGACGAGGAATACAGAGTCCGTCACGCAACGTCAAAGGTATGTGCCTTTATTCACGTCACGCTGTGCGCCACGTTATTGTTTACATGAGATGAATAGCAGAATGGCAGATAGAGACAAAATACTGTTACTGTTAATCTGACTATGTGTAATAATGTTCAACATTGCTATCAATGCATTTTTCAAAAAATGCCTCTCTGTGCAAAATGGGTTTAAAAACATAAACATCTGGGATCCTGTTTGTCCGTGATTTAGACAAATCGTGGCAGGATCAGCCTGATGTTATTTGTATCCAGCTGTAACTTTACTGTATAAAGAGCTCACATCTCCAACATGTCAGGAGCAGTTAGTCATTACAAGAAGTGTTTGTAAAGTAAAAATCAAGAATATGGGATCCTGTTTGTCCGTGATTTGGAGAACCCAGCGCTGCTCCCGATGCAGGGGAAACCAATCCTGCAGGGAGACCTACGTTGGTACTTGTGCAGGTGAAGCCAAAGGGCAGATTTGCTTCACCATATTTTCTAGTCTTTAGCTTAGAATGAAGTTGGTTTGCCCCCTGCAATGGCTCTGCACCCCCCCAGGGGGCGGGCCCCACACTTTGGGAAGGTCTGCCTTAGGGGAACCTGTGTGGACTGGTTCAGGATACTGGTCCTCTATCCAGTCCCTGTGCAGCAGTAGTGAGAGCTGTACAGGACTTTGACTGATAAATTTTCTACTGGCATTTTCTGCCCCTCAGACTCGAATAAGTAAACGAAGATGGATGGTGGATGGTAGCTGCTCAACATCTTCTTAAAACTATAAGAGTCACATTTTCTCATGTGTACGATACTTTTGTTGGACATGTATCGTCTAATAGAGGGAAGGTTCGAAATTATGAAACAATGTCCTTCCCCTTTCTTTTTTATACAACCAAATCATTCCTAGTACTCCTATACTTCTGCCTGCTGCACACAGCGAAGACAGACGACTCATGTCCCACTTAATCGACACAAGAGACACAGATTGTTTTTCCTCAGGTGGTTATGAATTTCATTTGCATCACAAAACTACATTTCCTGTGGAGGCAAGGTTAATGCTGCTGCACATTAACCTGTTTCTGTACACTTCAGAGACAACGGTCATTTGTGCTACACCGCATGCACACAAGTCATATAACACAACTGAACCACATAGATATTTCACAGGAAAATGACTAATCACATTTAAAATATCAAGGCAAAAACAAACACACAGGAATGCCTTCTATTAAGAAACAAACTGCTGTTTCCCCGACTGTTTACACAATAGGTATGACATCCCATTATTATTAATCTTACTTACCGTTCAGGAACCTCCTACACAGAGTCAAACATTAGCATATTTGCCATTTTAAAGAATTCTCAAGGTGACCAATAATTCAAACCCAGAACACCACCTCAGTGCTTTTTAGTGCAGTGCAATCACTGTTGACTTGCATTTTCACATTGTCGCTTTAAGCCTTTGGTGGCATGTGGTTGGATAAATAATTGGGATAAGACAGAAAAATGTGCCTGACCTGTTTGAGCACTGTAAAATAATAAGCACACGGATAGATACTGTCATAATTATTTTTTAAGTGGCGTGATTCTACAAAATCATTGCACTTCTAGCATTATGTGAAGTAAACTAGTCTGATATTTTGTTTGCAGTCAGTAATTTCAGAATAAAACACAAGGTCACATAAGTATCAGTAAAGAACCATTAAAATAATCCTGAGAACTCCTGGGGCAACGGATAAATTATCTATGGCAAAATACAATGCAAATCAAGAGAATGTCCTATTGAAATTATATTCAAATGTGATGGAAAATTACACAACAAAGTCTCCATTCAATTATGCTAAGAATGTGCAAATCCAAGGACATTTGAGTGAAAACTGTTTACTGTTAAATCCTTTGAAATGGGTGCTGAGTATGGAGCACTTTGGCCTATGGCTGAACGAATGTTTGACTAGATTAGAAACAGATTTAAAGAGAGGTTTCTTTTAGTTTGAACCTTCAACTTTACACTTTATCACTCTGCAAACCTACCTACAAAATATACAATCAATCAGCTTCTAATGGCAGTCCAAATTGTTTGAAAAAAATGCTTGTAAATAATGTGCAAATTAGGTAATGGAAAAAAAAAATGGAAGTGTAACATTGCATCTGCACCAGTGTGTGAATGGGTGGATGACTGGATATGTAAAGCGCTTTGGGGTCCTTGGGGACTAGTAGAGCCCTATATAAATGTGCATGTGTGTTTGTGCTATATAAATACAGGCCATTTACCATCTGTACACTGTTAAGTAACTAATACTATAAGTGAACATAAGATTATCTACTGCAGCCAATGACTGCTCAGACTGCTATACCTTGGTCCAGTTGACCCTCTTCATGACAGTTTCAGGCTTGTAGGTCTTCTTGGGCTCCAGTCCATAAGGCAGCTTAACAACAGGAAATCCAGGAGGTGGCGGAGGTCCTGGTGGGCCTCCAAACGGGGGTGGAGGCCCAAAACCAGGTGGTGGCGGGGGAGGGGGTGGTCCACCACCTGGCGGTGGAGGAGGAGGTGGTGGCGGAATGCCAGCATGGCCAGGGACAGGTGGAGGAGGTGGAGGAGGTGGAGGAACACCACCAGGTGGGGGAGGAGGAGGTGGAGGTGGTGGTGGAACTCCAGCACCTCCTGGAAGTGGTGGAGGTGGTGCTCCAGTTGCAGTAAGGCCTGTAGCAATCTGCAAATACAGAACACAGATGTCAACAATGGCCCACATATGCATGTAAACTCCCTTTGATTTGATTGAAACTGATGTTCCTAATACAAAAAGCTACAAGGACAGTAACGAGGCCTCCGTGTCCTATGTGTGCAAACCACTAATCTTGCTTTTGCTGATTACCTGCTCTACAAACTCAGCCACATCTACCTCCTTTAATGGAATGCATCCGTTTTATATTCTTGAAACTTGCCACTAAAGTCAAGAATTATAAGGTCAAGTGGGAGCAAATTCACTAGACATATAAAGGTCTGTGAATTTTCTTATGTCTAACTGGCATATCTCTGGAAATTAGCGAAGTTAACTTTTGCTATCAGCCCTGTAAGGATCGTTTCCTTTGCACGCCACTCGCTATATGTCATTCCTTCAAAGCATTTTCAGGCTCCTTTTATGATGTCTACATTTCTACACTGGTATGTTTCAGCCTAATTTTATAATGGATTTTTTCTCAACAAAGTATTTTTCAGCAACAAAGTAACAACAGTTGTCTTTTATAGATTATGTTTCAATCAAATATATAAATATTCCATTTGCAGATTCTTCAGTTAGAATTTGGTTAACATTCTGGTGGCAGAAATAAGAACCTTAAGTCTTTGAGCTTTTTAGAGTTTCTCCTTTTCTCTATGGCAATAATGCTCAGGCACAACTAGGTATGATAGGGGGTGTCAAAGAACAGCAATGTTCATGTCTCTCTAGAGTTGCACTATTATAGTTAAATGCAGCTATAGTTAAATTTGTGTTTAGCTTTAGCAGAGCATTTGCTTCTCATTTTGTGATAATTATTCAGGTAGTGGCAAACTTCCAGTGGACTGTCATGTGCCTTTTAGCATCCATCTGGCCGCTCTTCCATAAATGCCTGATTGGTGGAGTGCTGTACCAGTGATTGCCCTGTAAAAGATGTTGGGGAACAGAATGTCTCCAAAAGATGGATCTCAACAGCAACCACTAAGTTCTAAGTTACATGTCTAACAACAACAATTTATCCACGATTAATCAGCTTGGCTGGGCTGTCAGACCTAGAAAGACTGTGTCGGTGGTTCATTCATTTGAGAATGACGGTAGCTAGTAGCTACCATGTTCTTGGACAGTTTTACTAACACACAAAATGTCTTGCATCGTTATACCTTTCTTTCTGTGCATAGTCTGTGCATAGTCTCGAACCCTATATCCTTTATGCCTTGGTTTTCAGTCTGTGACCATTATCTATGAGGCCTCATACAGAAAGATTCCAGGTGTTCTTATTTTGAAAGCTCACTTGCTGGTAACCAGCTAGTCCCAGTCCTTCCCAACTCCCAACTCAATACCGCTACTCCCCAAAACGTCTCTTGTCTTATATTTGGATGTACTCCAACTAAACTGTCTTGGACTGCTACTGATGATCTACTGCAAGATAAAGGGGTACTCCAAAAGGAACCTGCTGCATGTGGATAACTGAGCCGACAAGGACTGAAGTGCAGAGGGAGGCCTTATGTGTGTGGAAAACCGTCCTCTCATTGGAGATAATTAATAATAAAGTTTATATTTGTAAATTGTAAGTTTTTATTCCAGCCTAATAAATCAACAAAACACCAAAAATCTGTAATTGCTTGATATATACCAAAAATAAATAATGCAAATACAGTAAGTACACCCTAGCTCTGACAGGGTTTGATTTTCAGAGCTGATTAGATGTCTGCTCTTACCAAATAGGATTTCCTCTTGCACTTTTCATTTCTAAAACCAATTCCGTACTATTTAAATTTCCCCTACTCACTTGATTGTGTGCTTAAAATGCAATTGGCTTCATATTTAAAGACATTACATATTGTTTCATTACATAATAGCATTGGCGGATTGTTTATTAGAGACGGAATTAAAAAGGTGTTCTGCCTGGAGTTTTTTTTTTTTTTTTTCACAGATTGCCCAGAGCCTCTCAGTAAAATCTACATCCAATGATTACATGTCTGTCAATCTCAAACCCTCTGTGGCCCGTTTTCTCTTTTAAGATTAATATGAGAGAATGGAAGCAAATTAGCTGCTAAATTAGAGTGCCGTTGTTTCCATACTGAGGGGCCCTCCGAGTATCTCTCTCTCTATCCACCTCCCTGTTCTACCCTGTAATAATAAGCCCAGTGTTCCATGGAACTCTTGGGATCCCAAACCACTGCCGCCGGCATATTCTTCCTCAGGTATCAAAATAAACACTTTCAAAACGTTGTACAGCGAATAAACGTTTGTACGTCTTTTACCTTAAAGGAAATAAGGTGATTCTTGTGTTGCAATTATCAAGGTCACACATGATTTGCATGCAGTGTATACAAAATATACAAACCCAAAGTATATATATGTGAACTAGTAAATAGAGGTCTATGTTATATGTGCAAAAACCATGATTACTTACTAAAATACAATTTAAATTCACTTTTACTTCAGATCTAATATGTGTATTTGGCAGCATATTTTATTAAAATATATTGTGCTGGCAAGTGATCCTTTTTTTATTGATGTTACTCTACCAGAGCCCATCTGGAGCTCTGTGTAAAGTAGACAACCAATCTAATACAAAATCTAACCCACCCAAATGGATTCATACTCTTCTGAACTCAAAGGGGAGGTCAGCGTGACAGGTAATTAACTCTGAATGCTATGTGATTAAATCTTTGCCCAATCTCATCTCTGATAAAGAAATTCAATCACAAGTGTTTACTTATGAAAATTACATTAAACAAGCAAGCAATGTGTGCGGCTGAAAGCAGCTATAGAGATTCTCAACGTTCAGTTGATATATTCTCTCGCTCTTCCACACATGCAGTATACAGAGCACATTATTTGTTGCTGATTAGTGAAGTCAAGAGGCAATAATTCATTTATATCAAAAGGGGAAAAAAAGTATTTTTGTGAACTTTTTTTGTGAAGTTCACAAAAGTGCTATGTAATATGTGCTATATAATACAAAGGGCAAGCATGCTGAGAGAAAATATGAGACAAAAGATCAGTCCAACAATCCAAAAACAGATTTAAAGCACCACAAATCAATGACATTAAAACGCACTTGGATTTGTCGGGGATTAAATGTGAGATTATGTCAAGGGCCACACATGCAACGGGGACACCCACCTTGGCTTCAGATTCCCTGATGAGTCTCTGAGCCTCTTTGAGCTTGTCATTTTCAATAGTTAACTGTGCAGATACAACACACACGCACATACACACACCACAGATACACATCATGGGAACACATACATTACAAGAGGCACAGAGGGCAACAAAGAGGCACAAATGGGGGTGGGTTAGATTGACAGGGAACAGGAAGACTAGTACAATAGAGCAGGTACAGTACTCACGCCAAACACAATCAAGCCAGAGAAACAACAAGGACGTCCTTCACACAGTTAATGACAATGGCAGTACAGTGTTATATTCCCATTTTGTCTGAACAAGCTATTTGATGTGCAAAAGGCAAAGTAGAGTGTACTGTACTTTTACACTGAAAACAACATCTAATCTTTCTTCAAAAGAACGCCGGCGCGGAGCAATGACTGCATGAAAGGAACAAGGCGCAGCATCACTGACAGTTGGTGTACCTTCAAAAACCTAATTCTATTTCAATTTTTTCTCATTCTGGCATCACAAAATAGATTTCAACCCAGAACTCTTAGATGTGTGATGGGCATTGATTTTACTGCGCAGCCTTTGTTTTAGAAATGTACCGATTTTGCTTTGATATTTCACTCCGGGCAACTTTGCCAAAAGAAAGAAGATGGGAATATATTCCAAAGTAACAACAATTTTGTGTTTTTATGGAGTTATTCCCACAGAACATTCCTTACTATGAACTGTAGAAAACTAAATATTGAATGTGTGTAATGGAAGAGAAGATGGAAACTTTTCAGCTGCGTGTCTTAAGAAGAGTTTTTTATTTTGAAAGAATTTTGTATAATGGTAGTGAAGTGCAATATTCAAAGCAAAGAGAAATGCTACTTTATAGTTCAACCTCAGGGATATCTAAGTTTTAAATGGTAAATAAATGGTAAATGGCCTGTATTTATATAGCGCTTTACTAGTCCCTAAGGACCCCAAAGCGCTTTTAAAGAGCAAGATTTTCAGCAGGTATCATTTCCCCTGCTTTCTGAGAAAACCAGATAGTTAGAATAAAAGCATGTGTAAGAATGTAATGATGTATGACAGATGTGAATATTCTAAATTTAACCGTGTATGCTGGGGTAAACGCAAAGGCACACATATTTACTACACTGAAACTTCTGCAGGCATTATCAGTTTAGAAGAATTCTTTAATCAGTCAAGGTAGACAGCAGTTTGGCAGTAAAAGGCAGAGAAAGTAGTCTACTGCACCTCCAGTTGCTCTCGGGGCCATGCTGGGTCAGCTACAAGATCCCCAGGTTGTTAAAACCTATTAATGGGATGGCACTGAGTTTTCCAGTCTACCACTGCAGTGCTACATTATTCATCAAATCTGGAGCCAATTCAGTGAATATCTTCCCTTTTGCCTTGAATGGATCCATGCTAAGGTTTGGGGAAAAGGTGGATGGATTGCACTTTGTTGTGATTTCGAAGTCCTTCTCCTAATGTTTACAAGGAGAATTTCCACTCAACTCAATTGGGAGATAATCACACAGACACATCAAACAGGCTGCTTGTTACAATGCCAAAGTTTCTGAAGAAACACTCTCATTAAATGTGCTGGTTCACAAACAAGGTGAAGAGAAGCAACTCAGGCATGCGTGAGTTTTAATATCTGACAAGAATTCAGTGTAGGAGATGAAAGGTTAGCGTTAGCTCCCACTTCATTCATATTCAGTAAAACGGCAGTAATCGCACAGCTGCTTTGATGGGCAAGCTGAATGCGTGTCCTCACACCGATTTAAAGGCTCTGCGCACTCACAGTTAATGACTTTTCTACGGCACTAGTATCGTGTCAAACACGGAAAAGGAAAAAACATTCTTACAGACCGGTCTTCCTGAAGTAACAGAATCTCATCTGTCTGAGAGGATTACATCGTTGTTTGAGTTCTTACTACAGACCCAGTATTTTTTGTAATTTTCTGACAAAAGGCAGAGCAAGTGCAGTCTTCTCTTACAAATACGATACGGTATATAGCGTAGTTACGTTAGGCTGAATTGGGAATAATCTAAAGTTCTTACAGCAACACTCTGGTAATTTGTGCCAAATAATGACATGTTTCCCTGTCGAGGTTAATGTCTCTGCAGCTCTCCAGCAGTAGCTGTTCTTTGAAGGAGCATTCAGACAAACAGAGAAAGAGAGAGTTTGACTCTCCGGGGCTTCTCTGCTGTACGCTACGTGTTAATGCACCATAGCCAGCTAGTCTTCAAAAGACACAGACCTGCTATGGGAAGATGAGGGAAAGGTGTGTTATAGTGCAGAAAAAAGATTGTTAAAAGCTCCAACGAGGGAATTAGGGCTGGTAAAGGTAGCACAACCTGATGTACACAAAGACTGAGCAAGGCAAAGAAAGAACAAGGCTGAGCAGGGGAGGTGGCGATTATGGACTGATTAAAATGGGCTTGCAGTGCTTAGGAAAGGAGTGATGAGTGATGAACTAGTTTGGGCACAATGAAAAGCCAAAACAAATTCAGCCTGTTTGAGGTACCTGTTATATGACCAAACCCATGAACAAACAGCACGGATTTATAGATGCTCAGTGGATACAGGGGTAGAAGAGATTTGTCCTTTTAGATGTCACAGGTAAAAACACGCCCTGTTATTGATCAGACACTTAGTAAATACTAAGGTATGCAGATGTTTACTGCAGTACGCTCTCTATGGTAAGCTTTGACTTATCAGGACATAATAAAGGATTACATATTCCTTACAAGGTCTTAAAATTAAGTAAATACAACCTGAAATAAACAGCAACCGTCTCATTATTATTAAAATTAAGTCAAAATGTAGAAGTCATGTGTGAGAAACAAAGCAAACCCTATAATTCAAAGGCATGTAGAACTCCTCTTAGCAGCAATAACTCCCAAATGTCTTTAATCAGTCGTTTTCTGGATGACTTTATCAGTTCCCGTTGTGTTTACTGTGTGATGTTCGCAGGCATTCATTTATACACAGCTCTCTTAAGGTCCTGCCACATCTTTTCATTCGGGTTGAGGTCTGGACCTTGACTGGGCCATTGCAATACTTTTCTTTCAACAGCCATTTTGTTGTTGCTGCTGTGCTTGGGATCATTTTCCTGTTGTGTGTCCTAGTTTTAGCCAAGCTTTAGCTGCTGGACAGATGGCCTCATATTTGAATGTAAAATCCATTTGTATACAGAAGAGTTCATGGTCTACTCAATAACTGTCAGGGTCCTATTTCTGCAAAACAAGCCTGCCTGAAAATCATCACCCTTCCTCCACTGTTCTTGACAGTTGACATGCTTGTGGTGATGTGCTGTGTTTAGTTTTCCCTAATGTGGCGCTGTGCATTATCCCCACGTTGGTTTTATCCATCCAAAGGAGATGGTTTCAGAAGCCTTGTGGTTTGGTCATATGCAGCTTTCCTAACCCAAGCCATGCTGCCATGTTGTTTTTGGAGAGAAGAGGCTTAATCCAGCCAACCCTATCAAACAAGCCATGATTGTTCAGTCCTTTTCTAACATGAACTTTAACATTTAACATGTTAACTGAAGCCTGCAGAGTCTGACATACGTAGCTTGTAGGTGAATTGGCTGGCAAGTCCACTCCTGGGAAGACTAAATGTTTCCACTTGCAAATACTCTTTCCCACTGTAGAATGATGGACTACAGTGGGACCATTAGGACAGGTACTTATGACCCTTTCCTCACTGATGAGCAGCAACAATTGCTTATTCTGAGATCACTGCTGATATCTTTCCTCCTTTGCATTGTATTAGCCCACACCTGTACCATCCAGATGTGCAAATTGTCACGAATTGCTTTTAAAGAGGTGCTCACACACGCTGACGATCAGTTAATCAAGTGCATTTGATTAGCAGCACCTGACTGCTACTTAAACTCTTAATTCCCAGAACTAGAAGGGTGCACTTGGTTTTTCACACATTGCTTCTGTTATATTTGGCTAAAGTTTTGTTAAATAAATAACAATATTTAATGTATTGTTGTTCATCTGAGCTTGAACTAAAATGATTTTAGAACTTACTAGGGATGATAAAAGTTAATTATAAATATGTAAAACTCATTCTTTTTATCAGGGCTGTGCACCTGCACACACACCTACATTTCTATTAAACTGTTAGATGTAATGCGTTAATGTTGCCTTTGTTATGGCTCAATTTGACACCTCAGAGGTTACAAGTGCAGGTAAGAAGTGGCGACACACCCTGTAGGCGTATGAAGCACAGTGAGATCTACACGCAAACTGAATCCGAAGGAGAAAACGGCTACATAACTTTGGCTATGAAACCAGCTGAAGTTCATTCTGCACAACAGTATTTTTTGTAGACTGACGTGAGCTGTGAAAGTGATTCCTGGACCACATATGCAGGTGCAGTTTATCAGTTGGTAAGTACCAACATAAGCCACGAGATATGAATGTTTGAAAGAAAAAGCAACCTCTGGTACGGATGTAGCTTTACCATCTTTCAATGCTGGTTTATATTAAATTCCCTAAGCAGGGAGGCAAACTGCCTTTTTGTCCCAAGGTAGTACTAAAGTGTTTGAAATTGGGTTAAGGGGGAAATAGCAGTCATTTTCTGCATTCAAAATGGAAGATTTTGCCTGGGAAGAAATGATGTGGAGGCCAAGAAAAAGAAATGCAATCGATGTCTGTGATGATAGAATTTCATAGGAAAAGCTTCAATAGAGCAATTCGTCCATATAAAGAAATACAACTTAAGAAGGAGATTGACCCCTTATTAAATCAAATGTTCTTGCATGGGTGATAACTCCCACTTACAGTAGCTTTGCATCTGTAAGTGGGGTGGAAAGGTATCCGGATAAAAACAAAACTTTCTTTTAGTGGCGCCATTACTTTTCTGTGCTACGATTTTAGGACAAACACATTTATTTGCACATTCTTAGTCTTTCATTTTAAAAACAGAAAAGTTTTGGACAACCGAGCTTCGCCTATCTTTGTTTTCTTGTTTTTTGGGGAAAGATACACTATAAAGATCTCTGGGGAATGCAACATTGTTCTGTAGAGTAAAAATGGATTTACCTGGGACTCCAGGGCTTGGATCTTCCCCTCCAACTCTTTGATTTTTTCTTCCTTCTTTTGAGATTCGGCTTGGGCCTCCTGCCGTGCACTGAACTCTTCATCAAACTGCAACAAGAAATACTAAGATGTCTATGTGCAGAACACATATACAAAGATGTAAACACACGGGCACAGAGGTTGGTGAGCGGCAGGGTGTCTCCAGAGATTGGCCACAGGGCATGTCAACAGACACCAAAACACGCCACCTTACACTCTCTGGACAATTTCTGTTCATAGGTCCCGTGTCCCCAGAGCCCTGTTGTCCTCTGTCTTTGGTTCAGGCTTGGCTTTCATGTATCCTGATGGTTCTAACCTTTGCAGAAACTATGCCGTGTCGTTACAATGATTTCACTGTCCCAGTAGGGTGCCCGGTACGATGGCGGGGCATGATTCTTAAGGAAAAAACATTCCCAGGACCCCCACTGGGGTGTTGTCAGCCTGTGATAATGTTTCTCCATAAAACACAATTTATTACTAAAAGTACGACGCTGAAAGAAAGGTTTTGAATTTTATTTCTCTCCAAAAATACAAACCATCAATCAAGCCAGTAATTGAATGATACCACAACTAATTTAAAATACAGTAAGAGGCCCATAAAGCATCAGCTTAAAGTGCAGAACAACATGTAACATCAGAGTCTGCATATAACTTAACTCTACCCTGGCCCTGTGCACAAATAAGTATACATCAGAACATCTGCATTGATTCTTGTAATGCTGATACGGATCATGTACCGTCACAGCCAGGTATTGATCAGGGCATGGAAAATCAATAGCTTGTCTGGGAGCTCGGAGGAAGAAAAAACTTTCCTGATGGGAGCTGACCAACCGAGGGGCGCTGCTGGAGTGATTAATGTCTCACCTTTTTGGAGAACTCTGTTGCCTTCTGCTCACTCTCTTCAACTTTGGCTTTATCCACAAGCTGATCTGCAAGAGAAGTTGGCCATGGTCAAAAGATAATTCAAATGCATCTGTGGGTGTGCCTTACAGGCTCCTGAGATTTACAGTCGCATATTGTTTTAAAAGTACATAAAAGCTGGGGATTGTTTTTTCTTTGTTTTTTTAAAATCTTGGAACAACTGTTAGGTCTGGGAGATCGCATCAATCACTGAAATTTTAATTTCATTTCATTTAATGTAGCATTATCAGCCAGCGATAACATAATATTATTTTTGTTGGATTACATTAAAATTGTATTAACATTTAAGCACCTTGTGCAACTCTTGGTTCTGATTAGCAAATGTACTTATCTCTCACCCCTTCATCTATTCCACTTCTTTATTAACATCAGTGTTTTATTGTAACAAGAACACCACCACTGACTGTTAGCTATCTGTTGCCTAAGGGTATGTGCCTTGAAACAAAAAGAAAGAAATCAGAGTATATAAATATGGATCAAATCAGACGTCTCTATCTTTTATTTTATTTTGTTAGCTTTGCCTTTACAAATCCCACATTTTACATCTGCCCTGTAGGTAGCAAAAGTGCAAATTCTAGGCGTTAATTATTTGCTAAATCACATATTTAGCTACACATTTTTCATTTAGAAAATGAAAAACCTGTGGTGAATGTGGATAAAAACACAAGTGAATAGACACCTTTCAAAAACTAAATGAAGATGTGAAAAGAAAAACAGATTTTTTTTTCCTTTTAAAATTACTTGATTAAATCCAAGTGAAGTGAGAAGGAAAAAAAACGTCTTTAATACTGCACCGATCCTCTGTGCATAGGTTTAGAAACTTTTAATGACCCTTTGTTGGCAAGTTGCAGAACTGTTGGTGACACAACTGAGAGACACATGGTGGTGTTATTTATTTCTCTGTTTAAAAAGATACCCATTAGTAACACAGTGCAAATAGATGTTTTCACTGGAAGACTACAAGCAAGATTTTTTTAAAGTCTAACAGGGCTTTTTCTTCCTGAATTAACTGGATTCAGTTAACTAATAATTAAATGACCCTCTTATCTTATGACTAGTCACTGGAGATGTTAGACGAAGGATCTGGGAGAATAATGAATATAACTCTAATAATACTCCTGAAGCACAGGATCTAAAAAAAGTCACCTTTACTTAAGGTACTTGTTTTACCTTAAGCAAAGGTGACTTTTTATTCATATATTAACATTTAGATTTTGTTTGTCAACACACATCATATCATATGACATAACAGGCACAGTTCAAACCACTGCATCGCTGTGCCGTCTTACAGTATGTGTAATTAGCAAGTAACAAATGATTATGAAACAATTCTCTAGTTACCAATCATGTGGGTGAAGTCCACATCCAATCTTTTATTATAGACAAACTCCGGGTCCATCCCGCTGCGATGGAGGACCACCTGAGACACACACTCTTCTATCACCTTGTAGTACTGAGGCCTGAAGAGTCACGAAACACAGTAGAACAATTAGACAAACCACAGAAAGATATGAGTGACGCAAACTCCACAAGGCTAATTAACCACAAATGAGTCTGTTATCCAACCCAGAGGTCACAAAATGCCATGTCAAAAAGGGTGCTGCTGGACAAAATAGGCACCCTATCAAATTTGATCAACCCTTACATGGAATTAGCAGATTAATGGGTACACAGAACCCAAGTATGTGTTAGCCTTTCAATTTCAAGGTGACTGACAGTAGCCGAGGCCATGCTTGCCCTCTTGCATAATTTGCAATCATCTTTGCCAATTAGAGAAACCATAAAAACTGAAATGTAAATCTAATCAGTGTAATGTGAGTAATTGAAAGCACAATGAATAGAAAAACATGTCAGCCAGTTAGGAGTGTGACAGAGTGCTTGGTGTTTTCAAGAAGGTTGTGCGAATCGGCCCGAGAGTCCGACTCTAGCACACAGGCTGGTATGTGACCTTTTCTCTGTACCATTATCAGCTTTAATTGCAAGTGACATTTAGCAAATACAATGGCAGTTTAAGCAAGAGATAATTATTTTCTAAGCAAGACATTGACCAGAAAACCATTAAATGTGAAAAACTGACACTTAATGATGTTCATCAAATTAAACCTAAATTATGGATTTTTTCAATTATTTTAAATATAAATGAATAAATACAAAGTATCCTTTTTACAGGTGCACACAGATAGGACCGACTAATTCTGTCAATGCTATTTATTTATTTTTTATTGGGCAATAACGGTTATTATACAATTAATTGGTGGAATATAGCATTATCAATTGGACAAACAGGATAAACAACCTAGTGGTTCAATAATTACACGAACTCCTTTCATCTCTTTTAAATAAACATATTTTTAGTGGGTGCAGTGAGCAAAAGCTATGTCCCTCTGTTAAAAGGAACAATTACATGGTACACCAGTCCAGAGAGGCTTTCACTGGCAAATAATACTAATTTAATGTAGATTAATTCTATTGTTATTTAGAAAATATAAATGTGTATTTGCGAGCAACCATTTGGGTGCATAATTTTACAACAAGAAGATGACAAAGCCAACACTGGAAAATCTGTAAACCTGTATGTGGCTAATATTAATTCATTATTAGTTCATTTATAGCTTCCTAAAAATGAAAATCCACGCTGCCAAAAATCCTGACATTTTATTCCATTTTTGATCTAAATAAGACACTCAAAGTCTGATCAAAGACTGCCCACCTGAATGGCTCTGTACCAGAGCACTACAATGAAAGAGCATTAATGTCACGAAAAATAAATAATTATGTTAGCAGGCAGAACCGTGAATAATGTGTCTGCTGTCAGGTAATTTGTCTGAAAAGATAAAAAAGTACATCATTCAAGTATGTATCTGAGCAAAAAGGAACACACTTTGTTATCAAACATTAAATGCAGAAAACTTTTGTTTTGTTTTTTTCTTCGGGGCTTTAACTCCGCACAAAAATTCAAAGGCTATGTTCTGATGATACCTTGTGGGTGGACAGACCATATCATGTTATGAGCAGGAAAATGAAAAGCCACAAAATTCTGAGCCAAAGCAAATAAGAATAAATCAGCATTTAGGTGCTCTGTTTTGAAAGCATGAAATGCCATACATTAAGCCTGGTGGATTCGCCCACTCATGACTGGAACAAGCGAGTGAAAGCTCACACATCGCCCTGCATGGCTTAAGCACTATGGCACTCGGCTTACAACTGTCACCAATGTACACCACATTATTATCTCAATAAGCCGCCCTATTTTCCCTCCGTCCTCCATCCTCCGCCACCACCAGGCAGATAGGGGCTGGGTGGAGATAACTGCAGGCGGAGAGAGTGACCCAGAACTGTCAGGCCCCTCCACAGTGGGCAGGGCTGGGCTCCAGAAGCAAGCATATGTCCCCTGCATCGTTCCCCACCTCTTCTTTTACTTTGGCACCTTCATTTCTTCCAGTGATAGCTTGCAGTTCAGCACAGCCCCAGCCACTTGATCCAGCTCTGCTCCACATAGCCAGTGTAATCCCCATATCACCAGGCTCCAAAAGAGCAGATCTGCTCTATATTTACTGGGTGGGTTTGATGTGCTCCCATTCATTAGGCTTTCAGGGAGAGATTAATTATCAAAAATACACCAAAACCCCAGAGGGGAGAAAAACAACTAGTGTTGTGTTAGAAGGAATTACAGTAGACAGAGCAGCTGCCCATTATAGAAGGTCTTATTATTAGAAGACTAATTATAATATCTAATGAACGCTCATTTAATGTTATTATTTGAAAGGAGAATTAAGGAGCCAAGTGTAGCGGTAATTCAAATTAATACAATGACAAAGAAATGTAATGTCTTACTTTGTACAGAAAAATACAACTACGAGTTTATTCATGTGAAAGCTACCTTTAAAAGACTTCCACCAGTAAATAATCCCAGTTAAACCCAACCATTTACTGGCCTCCCACTTTGTTTTAGTTTCATGTTGTGGAAATGGTATAGCCACACATTTTAACCACAACCCTAAAAGCTGATAACTTTTAGGGCAAAGGCCAAAAAATAGCCGATAGTATCTATTGGAAATAGCTGCATGCAGTGTAACACTGCGTCCTCCATCATCCTAAGTGCACAGCAGTGATGTACGAGGAATAAAAAGGCCTCAGTCATAATGCATTTCGGGTGATAATGTTTGGGTATGAGATTTTCCTTGCTTTTGTTATGCAAGCTCAAGAAGAAAGAAATATTCCAAAACATATCTTTAAAAAGGTCGTCCGATTTTTACGAGTTTTGGTACTGATCTCTCTTTACTGCTGGCTTACACTGTGGGCACTCGAGCTGAGGTGGACATAGTGATACTGGATGGTTAATGCGAATTCTATTTCTCACTTCCTCCGAATAGATGAGGAATACATAATTTATAACTCGAGGGGAACAGCAACTTGTCTATGGTAAATTCATCGTCCTCCTCACAGCTTTCCTTCATCTTTGAACTCTTTTTTTAAGTCTTATTTCTGCAAAAAGATCTGACACAGCAGCGAAATCACCAGAATCACTCTATTTAGAAGAGTGTCGACCTTCCCGGCTACTGATATTTTTCCTCTTCAAAGGTAAAATAAAAAGCAACCCCCACAGGTTAAAATCAATTAAATTAAAACTACCGCCTCTGCTAACCAGTTAAGTTGCAGTTTACAAGCATATCTGTATAGATTTATAATTTATGTAGTGAAGACTTTGAAGAAATATGATACAAGGGCAATGTTAAGAATTTAGCAACCTGCCAAGAATGAAATATCTATGGTGTTGAAAATGTTCCCTCATTTTCCACATTGTGTCAAAGTGAAGTCGACTTTGGACCTTTTGGATAGAAAATGTCACAGCTTCGTCACTTTATCCCATTCTGCATTCATGTAAAACTTAATGTACAGTAAGTTGGCGTTTGATTTCCTGGGTTAGAGCTGTCTTAGATTTCATAAAATTAGGCCTAGCTGTTCCTGAGGAATCAACACTGACATGAATTGGACGAAATGATATCAGACCTTTACCTCCACCCCCCAAAATCTAATCAGTACTAAATTTAAAAAATGCAGACAACCTGGAAACTAAATCTGTTTGTCCACTGAGGTTGCAATTATGGAGGCATTACTTTATCCCTGCAGTACTCTGATCAGTGTTTTCTTTTCTTTCTTTCTTTTTTTTTACTTTGGAGTTCATAATAAAGGAGATTAATAAAAAAAATAGCTACAAGCTATTTTTAAAGCTTTTCTCCCCTTTCAGGATGTAACTACAGTGTACACGTGCACATGTTTTGTAACTTAATGCTATTTTACTTTTTTACTTTTGGACCCAGTTGAGCAGCTGCTTTTCACATATTTCATATCTGCTAATTCGTGCTCAGTAACAGGGATGTTAACAAAATTAAACAAAAAAGCCTTATTATTTGTCAGATTATTGACAAATAACCAGGCAGAAAGCACCAGCATCATAAACATGATGATTGAAAACACCAGCTCCTTAACTAGCCTCCACCTGTCAGTCAAAACAACCAAGTCCCTAATGTCAAACCTTAAAATGTATGCTTTTTGTAGCACTTTTTATGGGGAAAAAGTAAAGGAAAAACTACACCAAACTTACAAAGAGCACCACAAGGTCATCGGTCAATACAAAGTTAGTGGTAGGTAAAAAAACACAAACACAACTTACCTGATGTAATAGTCATTTCTGATGAGCAATAGGTGCTGAAGGATTGACAGGAAGTAGGTCTCTGAGGCAGTGTCTTTCACCATATTGGACAGGAGATGGTACACCTCATTCATATCAGTGCAAGAGTAAGGTTAAGGACAAGCAACTTTACTGCAGTGACATGTTCTACTTTCTAGAGTTATTGCAGATATGGCTAACTTCTTTGGAAACCCCCCACAACCTGAACTCCTTATTATTCAGGATCATTCAACTGCAATAAACATTTAGATTTTCATTACTTCTTACTTCTTTTCATTATAGTTATTTATCTCTGCCAGCTTTTCTTACAAGGACTCTGTGCGCAGAAGCAAACAGAGATGCGATTCCTCTTATCCGTCCTCTCTCGAGAGAGCTAAAGCAGTGTAAACAGCTAACTTGTGGAAAGGGATCAGGAATGAAAAATGCTCCCCTCTGGTATCCCTTTTATTCCAGACTTTTCAAGAGATGGAAAATTAATAAGAGAAAAACTGGCTTGAATTTTTAAGCTAAGAATGATGAGCATCAGATTATTCGTAGGGCAAAAGTACAGTTGAGTCTCAAAACTGAAATTGACACTGACATGTAGGAGGAGTAAAAACTGATCTTATTTGATTTCCAAAAGTTACTGATTACATCTTATGTTTGCATTTCCCAGGGGGAGGTAGTGATGGCTTTGGCATTGAAAACAGACATAAAACTGAACTAGCCTACATTTTATTCTTCATGTGTAAATATGTAATTGTAAGTGATGAATTTAAAAAGAGTTACTGAGAGAAAAACTTTTCAATTTTGATGTCGTATTTAATGCAGTAAAATATTTGTGCTGTTCTCATAACCTCCTTAAAGTGTAACTCTAACAATTAAATAAATACAGAAAATGAGTGATCTGGAGTCTGTCTGATTTGTTTGCTTGAGAAAAGACGATTTCCCAATGGGCACTCATCTTCTCTGAAAATAAAAAGTGGAATAAGCCTCTCAGAAATGTGCAGAAAAAAGTAGATTAAGGAGACTGCACTGTCAAGCTTGCAGAGATAAAAACCTGATTGCCATCCTAACACGAAGTGCAGATCTTGACAATGTATGTTAAAATATTTACAAAGCGAAACGCAGTAACTACAAAGCAATCGCGTTAAATTTGCAGCATGTTGGCACCATATGTCGTGATTTCCCTCCATCCTGCTTTCGGTACAGAAAATATCCGTCAAATGAATGTGCAGAAACTGAACTACGATCTTTATATGGCCCGGCTTGCTGTCACCCATACAAAACGATCTGCACGCACTGCAACTGGAGCAGATCAATTCTTTTAAACACTGTTTGACAGTCCGATTAATTGCTATTAATTTCAACAATGTCTGTAATTAAACTCTTATCCCATATCAAATTTTTAGAGAAGCAGGGATGGGAATACAGGCTTCTCTAAAGTATCATTTTGCCTTCCTTGCATTAGTGGAGTTTGAAGCCTGGGAGAATTACCAGGCCTGTGAGATTCAATTATAGCCTCACCACAGCAGCATTTGAGAGGACATGAGAAAGAGCTCACACTGGGAAAGTATCCAACTAGCTTCATCTATCACTAAACTGCAGACATAAACCTAATGTAAAATGCCAATCTATTCATTGGCACCTCCTCTACGCTCACTTTCTTACTCTCTGTCTCTCTTTACACTATCTCTCCAAATAATGAATAAACATGAGTGGCAGTCAAGTGTGATGTAGGCCAGTCTGTGTTGGGGTCAATCAATCACCATTCCACGGATCATTAATATTTATTAGTGGCCTGGAGTCACCTCCTCGGCACCTGGACCTGGGTCGGACACAGAGGAGACAGGCCTTTCAGGTTAATATTCATGAAACTGCTGCAAGACACATATACAGTCTTCAGGTAACAGAGGTACTACCTGTCTGTACATATATAAGAATGTGTCCGCATGCAGGCAAAGAGACAAAGGGTAGCCCTGGGCGTTGAGATTATGCTCATACCTAACAGATCAATACCAAATTGTCCTTCGAAACAAACATTGGACCTTCTCATTTGTGAACCTGCTCAAGCACATCATTAATCTCGGTGCACTTTTTCCCCCTATATCGTCTCTCCACATACACGCACATTACCTCCTCCCCTAACCTACATGTGTCAACAGCAGCTGTCACTCACAGTAGCACTTTGTGCATGTACTAGGACTGTGGGATTTGGTGGAAGAAAAAGGCTGTGGGAATGAACATCTGCATAACAATGTCAGAGTCTGGTTTCTCTGCTCACAATGTCAGCTATTCATACATAGCCTTAGAGAAGATTTGTGAATTATTAAAAGGTTCTTGTCTGGGGTGCTTGAAGAAGTTTCCAACTTGGGACTAAATTACATATCACCTTATTAACTTCTACTCTGAGTGTTTGGAGTTAAATGGACATCCACAGAGAGCTAGAGGTCAAAATTCACCTTTCTAAATTGGAGCAGGGAAACGAGAGCAGACTGTTACTTAAACAGAAAAAAATATGATATGTTACCATTTAGGACAATATCACTTCATGGGAAATTTTAATTGTCTACTGTAAATGTTAAATGGTAAGAAAGGGGAAGAGTATTCCTATTCGATATCTCCCTCAGGAGTCTTACTAGAGTCCGACCAACGATAACAGACAAAAGACAAAAAGTGAAGTGAAGAGGAGAAGAGCTAATAAAAAAAGAGAGGCTGGAGGTTAAGATTACGAGGTTATTTACCTAGAATACCTGGCCAGAGATGAAGCTGGATAATGTGCTCAAGCTCCTCGAATCCTTCTCTAATGAACAAAGCCATGAGGGGGCTTCAGCCTATGAAGCTTAACCAAACCCACGATATACACTCATCTCTCACTGCTAGTTCTGCAGAATCTGTATATTCTCACAGAGGGAGGACAAAAGGATATTCCATCTCTGCGCGGATGTCATCCAGGCGATGTGAGAGTTCGATCGAGTCCTCCTCCTTGTTCTCATTGAACACCCTCAGCTGGATGTCCAGCTCTTCTGTCTCTTTTAGCTCCTGCAGTGAGTTAGACATACAGTATATAGTTTAGATTAAGTTTTACCAAAGGTCATCCTGTACTGCAGATTATTATGTTGCAGACGCATTAGCATGTATGGGTTTGTGAAAATTTTACTTTTCAATTTTCACAGGCTTCCACTTTATGGTATTTATAACTTAATTTATTCAAAAAAAAAAAAAAAAAAGTAAGAGAAGAAAAACTAACACCAAAATTTCATCTCCCTCTTCCAGGTGTACAGAAAACTGGGAACTGAGATGCTGTGAACTCTCTCACTAAGTATTCCAGACAGTACCAATTCCTGCACACCTGTTCCAGCCACAAGGGGCTACAGAGGTGCTCTTTACAAGTTCTCTATGAATCACTGGCAGTGGAATTTACAGATGGAGACAGGGCCAAATGTAACCCAATTTCTGCAGGTATCAATCACCCTGCACCGTTTTTTGGGCGCACCATCTGTCTTCAGCAAGCAACGCTGGTTCGGAGGGAGGTGCACAATGGCACAAAAAAAAGGAGGGAAGGAGAAGAGGAGGAGAGCCAAATACATGCATCAAGGACTATAAGAACAAAACAAATTGTTCTTTCTTTTTCAGTGGACTAGTTCTCTGCCAACAGCAACACTGACTCCTGAGCATAACTCATAATTAGATGAAAGAGTGTCAGTTTGAATGTCGGCATTAAAAGCGGTAAACGTGGCATTCATGAATGGCTGTACACTGAGCCTCTTTCATATCAGGGGGCAGAATTGAAGATAATTAAAGTAATGACAGTAATAATCAACAGGCACAGCTGGGATGACTTATTAACAACTGGCTTTGTGACATCTTCACCCCACTTGTGACAAATGAGAGTTTGAATGATGTGTTGGAGCTCGTTTGCCTTTCGGCTCATGCGAAGATGCGTAAGGTTGCCGATAATGATGCCTGCGTGATGAGGTGCTAGCAGTGCATGATACTTGGCACAAGCTTCTACTACTACTAATTAAATTAAAACAATAAAATGTATCCCTCTAGTATGTGTGCAATGAAAATAACTCAGTTTAACATCTCAATAATTTGGTTTGAATGCCTGAATGCTGCCTGACCACAATTACATAAAACATTCACATCCCAATTATTTGGAAGTTTAAAGTGCACGAAAAGCTATTTGGGTTGTGATGAAAAGGAAATCTTGCTTTCAGTAATTATAATAAGAGAGAGGTAAGTTGTCGTGGGAGGATTGGCAATAACGATGCAAAATTATGTTTATGACACGCATGTAAACAATGTGTTCTCTGGAGATTGCTAACTCACAGGAAGGATCTTCTTTAGGCCGCATCTTAAAAACTCGTTGCGCAAATGTATCCTGAAGTCCAGGTCGTCAGGGGAGGTGACCAGGGCATTGATCAGCTGCATGCAGGCAACCTGTGGAGCAGACAAAACAACGAAAACAAAACAAAATCAAGAGAAAAACTCAGGAGAAACTAAATATTTTACCTAAAAAAAAGTATCATCATCAGATATGTAACTCAACTCTAAGATGCATGTTTAGTCTAAGCAGCGTAACTGCAATTTGAAGAGAATATTTGCACCTTAATATTTCCTTTCAAACTGCAAAATCACAGAAAAAGCACCGCGAGGATGAGGCGAGGGAAGTAAAGAGAGACAAGTCAAATGGAAAATTGCAGAAAGTAGAAAATACAACCCTGGTATGTCTATTGACTATATGTGCATTATTAATGGATTTATTGGTAAGGAGAAATCCTCAAAGTGAGTGGTGGTGCGTGTGTGTGTGTGTGTGTGTGCTAGGTAGGTGGATGAGGCTGGCTTGGGTAACGAGGAAATTACTGATGAATTATAATGACCTGTAACGTGTTTCAGGGGAGGAAGTCGTGAATAAGATAGTTTCCCTTAGACAGACAATCGATAGCAGGCTAAAGGATTCCCACAGACAATCTAAAAACACTGCCTCCTGAAACCTTGACCCTGTGCTGTCGGTATGTATGCGTTAATAACAGCAATCGGAACAATTCTGAGTCTGTGTGGTTTCCTGTGTAAGCTTTAAAAAACGCTATTTGGGTAAAAAGTTTTACCAAAATCTGTTTAACGTTTATTTCCATAAAGACCAACATTCAGTCCTGAATCAACTTTTTCCAACCTTAATACGACGTGAACACGCTTTTTATTTTCTACTCAGTGAAACAAAAGTGAAAATAACGCCACGAACCTTTGATTTTTCTGTTACTGCAGCGCTCGTAGGAGCATTACCAAATGCATTCATATTCTCTTGAAAAGTATACGTTTGTTGTAGTAAAGGATGCACTGCAGCTGACTATGTGCCACTACTGCCAGGAACCGGAGTGATGACAGACTTCTCCGTGTTTGAGAAAAGCTTGAGGGCCTCAAACTGAGAACTGTGCACTGAAACCTGACATTTTACTGTATCCACCAGAGGCCAGGCACATAAAAGAAACTCCACCAAACCTTCACAGAATTTATGTGAGTGAAGAAAGTCATGGAGCTCATGAAAAATTCTTTCTCTTCTGCTGCATACAGATAGATACTTACATCAATCACCTCAAACATACCTCAGTCATGTATTGTGGAGTGGGAAGCGGTTGGGGGTAAGGGCATTATGTGCGTTACGTTTAGAGAGCTGCAGTGCTGCCAAAAGGGGCTTCCAAACATCGTAATTAAAAGTGGCACTGCCAGGACGGTTTTAAAGTTGAAAGTCAGAGTTCTTCTCATGCTCGGCAGACAAATATACCCCGAACTGGGGTAAAACGCATTTTAATCACATTAGCGAGGTCTAGTTCTGGAGCCCATTCCAGGTTTTGGATAAAAAGTCTATTAATTTCCTCCGAACCCCCTGCATCAGCAAAGCATTTTAATTTACTTCACAATTACCAGCTTCATTTCATTAACGGCAAAATTTAAAGGAAAAACAACAGTCTCCTAATAAAAGAATATCTACTTTCTCTTCTACCACCCGCCTCATCAGTTTCCTTCAAGACTTCTCAATCCCTGCAGCTAAAGTAATTTCTTAAGTAATTTCCTCCTTTTGGCTTCGCAAATACACGTTTTAAGGGGTGTTTTTATTGCTATTACAAAGTTTTCTTGTTGCTGAAGAATACTCGTGAAGGATCTGTAAAATGGAGAATTTAAATGAAGCAGCAAAAGGAATAAAAAAGAAAGACGGGAGAAAAATATAAATTAGAGATTTGACATCCTTTTTATTATTATTTTGTGATGTTTTCGAAATGAATGTGGAAATCAGCAGCGGTGAAGGAGGAGTTTGAGTAGAGCTTCTCAGCGTAATAGTTGTAGAATCAAATTGCA